GAGGAGGGGGCAGTAGGCGTATCAGGGTCCAAGGCCCGGAAACGGTTGTGAGTCTGAGGAAGGTGGGAAGGACGAGGAGAGGAAGAGCGTAACACGTGAGCATAAGAGAAGTTAGCATAAGGCGGGAGCCGGTTGTTACGACCCTGGGCTCCTCAATTGGAAACCAGAGGTCAAATTGAGCTAAATAAACTACCTTACAGTAGTGGGACGCATGGCGAGGTGTATTTGTCTATCTTTCCTGCCAGACGTAAGACGATTCTTGTTTCTCAAAGAGCATTTAAAGACTGAGCTTGGGGTTGATTATTAAGTAAATAAATAGGCATCAACTATGTTTACAAATGATTAGAAAGTATTAAAGAAGATCTGAGTAAACTTGGATATAGGGCTGCTGTACGATTAGTTGGGTAATCTGCCGGCAGCAAGGCAGCTGAGGAAGGAGACTGGAGACGGTCTGCCTTCTCTGGGCTGGCGTTGTGGTGAAAAGAACTTCCTCCTCTACCTCTTGTCTCTCTATTTCTGTGTCTAATTACCAAGATAAGTATACTGTATTGTGTCCACGTTGTCTGGCATAGGCGTGTTCTAATGTGTAGAGTATTATACTTTGTATGAATTAGGTGTTCCTAGTGTTTATATGCCTAGTTATACTAAAGGGGTCCCAGTGGAACCACGTGGTCTCCCTACCCTAAGCTGACTCAAGCTTCTAGCTCTTCACTAGTAGTACTTTACCCTAGCTTGTTCTCAGTGTAAACCTTGTATTCTGCTTATGTGGACCAAGGCTTTTAACGTAAGATAGTGTGGTAAAGTAATTATTATTATTGTTATTGGTGTGAATGTATATGGAGGTTGTTAAGGGGTTAATAAATAAGTTAGTTAAAGGAGTATCCATTCTTCCTGTGTAGGAGATCAATGATCAACCTCTAGACTGACAATATCTGGTAGCCAATTAATATTCACTGTTATTTTTATTTGGGGCCGGGCCTTACTGATCTCCATTGCTAGAGATACAACTTTATTCTAACTACTGCCCCTACATGAAACAAATGGGCAAAAGTTTCTTTCACCCTGAATGCCCCTGTTACCTAGCAGTAAATAGGTACCTGGGAGTTAGTCAGCTGTCACGGGCTGCTTCCTGGGGGTGGAGGCCTGGTCGAGGACCGGGCCGCGGGGACACTAAAAAGCCCCGAAATCATCTCAAGATAACATCTATTTAATACTAGATCCCCCCATAGAACATACCTCTATATATAACACCGGTGAACCTGGCGCCTCGCCTCAGGAAAAGATAAACGCTCCCGGTGCTTCAAGTTGAGGACGGCTGCCTCAAGCTTGTAATGGACACACGCACGGGAGAAGGCAGGATGGGCCTCACCGCAGTTGAGGCAACGAGCCTCGGGAGAAGTGCACTCCGACTTAGAGTGACCTTCGCCACCACACAAAGGACAGAGAGAGACAGTCACAGAGCAGCGGAGGGCACCATGCCCAAACCTCCAGCACTTGTTACAGAGCCTAGGAGAAGGAATGTACTCCTGGACAGAGCACCTGGCACCAGCAAGAATGAAGGGTCCTACCTTTAAAAGTAATCTTCACAACCCGAAGTGGCTGACGGCGACGACCACGAGGGGGACGAGTAAATGTGTCTACCCGGAGGACAGAATGGCCCTGGGCCTCAAGGATATGCTGAATATCATCGTGGCAGTCCTGTAGATTCCGAACATCGGTTGCAACATGGGGCGGAAGGAATATAGTGCCAACACTGGCATTCAACTGAGCGTTCTTGGAGACCTGAACAGGGGTCTCGCCAAGGCAGGATAAAGCTGCCAAGCGGGAGGCCGCATCCTGAGAAGGAGCAGCAACGACACGTGTACTGAGATAGGTGGGGTTGAAGGTGACAGAGGCATCTATGGAATCAACAAGGTGCCTATGAAGGGAGAAATCGTCAGGTGCAGAATCAAGAGGGAGGAGATCAAAATATCTGGCCCACGAAGCGGGACCAAACAAGGCTTGATAGGCATTAGAACAGGAAGGAATCGAGCGAGTGCGGCCGTGTCGAGGACGGCGTTGAGAACCCCCAGAGAGGGGTTCTGGGTTAAATGGCACAGTGGTCACAACTAGAGACTGAGCCGTGCCAGGGGACGAGGTGGTCACCACCGGGGGCTTGGGACTCGACCCAACCACAGAGGAGGGAGGGGAGTAGTCAGGAGGGTCAAAGGAGGAGCAAGGTCGGGGCCCAATGCAGCAGGGGCTGCAGAGCCCCGCTGCATTCCAATACAGTCCGACTCGGGGGCTTGGTCGCCCACCCCACGAGACTGAGAGGGTACAAGAGGAACATTCAGCAACATAGACAGGAAAAGAAACACTTTCACTCACGAATGTGCCCCCACACCCACCACGGAGCCACAATTAGAGGCAGGACACCCAACAAGAAGCTATCGCCGATCATGTCGGGGCCCTCCTAGGGGTGCGTCGTGAGTATACGCACCATAAACGCCACCTTAAGAACCGTCAGTCCGTCGAGATCGGGTTCAGTGACGAAAGGAGGTTTGACAATGAAAGGTTCCCCTCACTCGAGACGTTGGGTACTACAGTTCTACGGGTGCAAGAGTATGCCTCCTCAAGCACCCGGGCGTCAAAATAGAAGAAGTCCAAAGGAATAACCAAAACAAGAAAGATGTTGGCAAAAAATGACAAGCAGATAGGAGAAGAGGGGGGAGAAAAACGAAACAGAAGGAAAAGGAAAAGTCATTCAGCACAATTTGAGAGGACAGCAGCAGGAGCATAAGGCCACAAACGGACAGAGGACTGTCCCAAGGACCATCACATTCCGGCTGCCGCCCACTAAGCCCCCCCTCACGGCATCAACGAGCTGAACTGGGAGGAGGGTACACAAACACAAGAACACGTGAGAGAGCCAATCACAAAACAAACAAGAACGAAACAATACTCACATGATTAATCAACTGCAGTTGGAATGAATAAACATTTATAAAGATAATAACGAATTCTCATTTAAAGTTACACTTACAAACTATAATAATTCTTCGAATTCATACAAACACAGAAGTATATAACTTATAAACATCTAATAAACATTTCTGAAAGACAAATATTACATAAGATTAATGTATAACTAATATTTTATATTCAACATTCGATAAGGAAAAGAAAAGGAAAAAAACTTTATCATCACAGGCAAAATAAACTCCTGGGAAAAAACAAGCAAGGGGGAGACTTTAAAAACATATAAACCGAATGCAGTTTTACCGCCGAGACATTGTTGTTTATTAATGCAAGTCAGCTAATATTTTACAAATGTACTAGCTGGACCCGGCCACGCGTTACTGTAGCTCAGCAACCTTCCCCTGTGCCCCAATCCTCCCCACCATTTCCCCCTTCCCTGTCCTCTCGTCCTCCCAGCCTTTCCCCACTCCCCTATCCCTTCACCACCATTCCCCCCTCCCATGTCCCCTTGTCCTCCCCACCATTTCCCACTCCCCTGTTCCCTCGTCCTCCCTACCATTCCCCCCTCCCCTGTCCCCTCTTCCTTCCCAACATCCCCCACTCCCCTGTCCCCTTGTCCTCCTCATTATTCTCCATTCCCTCGTCCCCTTGTCCCCACCATCCCCAAACTCCCCCATCCCACCTCGTCCTCCCCACCATTCCCCACTCCCTCGTCCGATGCATTCCCAAATGATCTGATGTTCCCACGAGAAAAAATTAGAACAGTTAAAAAAACGAAATGAAAAACAAACTATAATCATGAAATGAACGGTATGATAAACAACACATCTCAATTCCATCGCAATGTCACACAATATAAAATGAAAATGAAAATAAATCGAAATCTATGAAAATTCAATTTATCAATGCAATCAGAAACATTGAAATGGAATCATAACATATTTGGTATAGCGTGTGTTGCTCTTACGTCCAACAGATGGTGTTGTTTTTCAAAAAAGCATGTTTTTACCTGTCACAGGTGAGGCATGTATATAGTAGGTATATAAAAACAAGCTCCTTTTCAAATACAAAGTTGTATCAGAATTTCAAAGCAATTACAGCAATTACAGCCGGTGCAGACGTTTCGAAGATTTCCCTCACATGAAAAACAGTTTTAAAAAAATATATTTTTTCCCGTTACAGACGTGACATTTATATAGTATGTATATAAAAACCTGCTCGGATGCGAATGGAACATTGTGTGAAAATTTCAAAG